CATCATCTTCATCACCATGCACCAACATCCAGGATCAGGATCATCATCATCATCATCATCATCAAATAAAATCTAATTAATATCATTTTTTCTCGCACAGATCAAGAAGAACTTCTCATCGAACTTCGTTCCCTTCCCGTCAGAGTCGACACACTTCGGGTGCGAACGAAAAAAGCCGAACTAGAACGACGCCTTTCCGAGATAGAAAGCGCAATCAAAATATTCTCCAGACCGAAGGTGTTCGTAAAAATCGACGAATAACCTTCACACAAAAACATATTTTTGTAAATATTATATTCTCATGTAGATCTTTAGGAATATAGTGTTATATACCAACATCCCTGACCAGGACGGGCGAACCAGGAGTTTGATTACCTTATTCGGGCTTCCTGTGGATTGCCAGAGGAATGATATTTTTTTCTCCCGTTACAAATTGATCGGTGTCTAGGGTGCATGCGCCTTACCGCTGAGTTCATGATAACGAAGGCTCGCAGCACACCATAGCCTTGGTACAAGGGCGTCTAGTTTAAGATCGAAAATAATCCTAACCATGCAGTGTTATCATTACACATACTAGTATTCAATGCTTAATCGTATAAATCCCACATATGTAACTACAATTATTTTCTAAAACGACCATGTGCTGGATTATGTGACGATTCTTGTGATGCAATCATACTCAGAAGGAAGTAGCCATGGCCGCCATGTTGGATGCCAAATGAATCAAGAAAAATTATTTACTTTTTTCGGTCAAGAAATTCTGTGCCAAGGGACTGTCAATTAGCGAAAAATCACACATTTTCCTGGCATATTTCTTATGTGCTGGCATTATTTACATAAGGTTCACAATACCTTTTACAATCAAAACGGTTCAAACTTCCCACTCCCCCAGGTTCCATTAATGGTTTCGTTATTCGAATATTAAAATTTATAATTCTTTCCGAGAATACGAAGACTCAGGATTCAAAATAATAATCGATTCAACTCGAATTCTGATTGGATCATGGTGTTCCTTATATGGAATAGTCCAATCAGAATTCGGGTTTTGAATCGATTATTATTTTGAATCCTGAATCTTCATATTTTTGAAAAGAATAATAAATTTTCAATATTCAAATAATGAAACCATTAATGGAAGCTAGGAGGGTAAGTTTGAGCTGTTTTGACTGTGATCTTTGTATGCAGCTTGCAACAAAACTTTCACCAACCTTTTATGAAACATAGCTGCATAGTGATATGTATTGCCATAATTCATCCAGCATACAAGACCACTAAAGAGCGATCCATTTCACTTATTGCATATTTTAATATAAGACAATAAATACTATCAAGAGAGCGTGCCATGTAAATTTCCAGTTGGGCTATTTTTAGTAACCGGATGCAGTTTAAATTTTGCCTTACCCTGCTCCCGTGCGTCTTCAACTTGTGCGCGCGCCCTCTTTCACAATTATTCGCCCAAGGCGAAGTGATTATCGGGGAATATTTACCGAGACGCGAGTCTTCGAGCGGCGAGGTAAATATTCCCCAATAATCACTGAGCCTGAGGCAAATAATTGTTTTAGTATAAATACACAGGTGATTCTTTCAAAAAAAGAAAATAAAAGAAGATAAAAGGCATTTTTTTTCCGGTAACAGCAACGAAGCGGCTGGCCGCCATTTTGGATTATCGCTGGAGATGATTATCGTGTGATAGTGTGAGTTTCTTGACCAATCAGCGCGCGAGATTTTCTATAATCACCTGCGTATTTTTACTAATTCCGTTTATTGCTTTGATCACTAAAAACGAAACTGAAAGAGCGCAGCGCGCAAATTGAAGACGCACGGGAGTAGGGAGTATTCTTTCATCTCGATCAGACCAGACCTTCAGTTAAGATCAAGACGTGATCAGTGAATTGATGGATAAACACAGGAAATCCAATCGTTATTTCCAAATACAACAAAAAAGAGATGCCAACTTTTCTTGTGCATGGGTTATAACTAATAGAGCTATAGTAGCGTAGGAGGCTATAGATTATTCATGAATCGCGTAGATTCTTGATTCTGTGGTTTTCAACCATTCCTCAATATCTGTATTTTGATAAGACATACCTGCATTTAATTGATCCGTTATTGAATCAATGGTATTTGAATGAAAGTAGATATGCACGCGGAACTAAATATATATATATWTATTTATTTATATAGCTCTATTTCAAATATGTGCTCGATAGAAAAATCACCATCTTGTTTAACAAAAAACTGATGGGCCCCAATACCAAACCTGAGGAACTCCACATCCAATGTCTTTTTTAATCAGTATCAGCTACGCTAGGCTCTTTGGTGGTGAGTGATTGCTTTCAAATTAGTGGGACAGGTCTACAGGTGTAGAGTTCATTAAAAAAAATAGAAAGCTTYGCACCCTCTTGATGAAGCAAGTGGCTCGTACTCTGTTAGTTTTTGAGAACTGCACCAAAGAATAATTTTGAACTTCAAAAAGTTAACCATCGGCTGTATTTTGCGTAAAATTACGAAATTCATGCAGATTCTTTTGCAAACCTTCTTAACCTCCAAAAACCATGTCTAGTAAGTTTCACAATTCTGCGTCATGTTATAAGCAAGTGTCAGAAATTGACATAACTTTGAAACCTAGGGTTCCAAGTAGTTATAGAACTTACACTAGACTTGCAAGCCTCGTAAAATTAACGTGAATCCAAAACAAGGCGGAGATCCTAGGTTGAACCAGCATAAGGAGCCCTCTAGGGATCTCCAAGATTTTTGGAGAAAAATAAAAAAAAAAGTTTTTCGATATTTGCGGTAAACGTTTACCTATTTGAAAATTGCAGTTGGATTACTAGCTCAAAAATAGATGGTGAGCCTCTAAAATCGTGCTGCCAAAACTCTCTTCGGTCAAATACCGAATAATCACGAAAAAAAGTTTTTGAAAACTGGCTATTTTCTACTTTTAATCAGCAACTCAGTGAACTTGCTAGGATGCATCTAGTGATTGTGATGGTACTGGTGATGATGCTGATGATGATGATGCTGATGATGATGGTAGTGATGATGATGATGTTGATGATGGTGGTAATGATGATAATGTTAAGGGGGATGATGATGATGGTGATGATGATGATTTCAAGGGGATGATGGTGATGATGATGATGATGGTATTAATGTTAAGGGGATGATGGTGATGATCGTTTCCCAAAATTTACGTTCCCTTTTGTTTAAATCTAAAATGTGATCTCTTGGATAAGTCCTAGGTGTCAATGGCAGTAGTGKGGTAAAATATGATATTCGATTTAATAGCATGCAACTTTGATTTGAGATTGCGACCGATACTTACAAACTGAGAGTACATTTGAATCTAAAATTAGTCTATGCTAGAGGAACAGATTTAAAAGGAACGTAATGTTCCGAATGTCGTTACCTTGATAGTCGGATCAAATGCTATGAAAAATTCAAACGAAAAAATTCATAGCCTTACAGTAGATCTTAAAGTTTATTCTATATAGGAGGATATGATGGATATGATGGAAGTGATTCCCTTAATTCCATGTATTCCAATCATATAAAAATACTTTTA